GATGGTGATGGTGATAAGAATCATGGTAACTGTTGATGAACTATGGACCTGGCACTGTGCAAAGTATAGCTGCTTTATCTGTTTAAGCCTTACATCCACCCTGTGTGCTACATACTACTACTGCCATAACACATGAGAGGTCAGTTTTCTATCTCCATTCTTCTGAGAGAGCTCACCCATCAGTGGTCTGAATTTTGTTTCACATTGAGAAAGAAATCCAGTAAATTTATCATAATTAACTAGACAGTCTTTTCTAGACTATTGCCAGTAAGTCAGAAAGGAATTTGGACTCTTGCTGAGACAATATTACATTTTCTTCCCAAAGACTGTCTACTTAAGTTTCAAATCATTTGAGGTCATCTTGTGATTTGTGCCAGAGGCGTCTGTAAATGGCCTATTGATGGAGAGGCATATTTGCTTTCTCTGATCACTGATTCAGAAATGCAGAGGAAGGAACATCGTTGTTTTGTTTTGTTTTTTAGTAGGGTGTGCATTGTGTCACTGAGTTCCAAATCAAAATTTGGAAAAGGTTTCCCTATAAGCCTTCAAATAATCTCTTACAGTTGGAGATCATCTCATTTCAATAGGGCCGTCAGCTTCCTGGGTAAAAGATACACTAAATCATGCGGCACTAAGAATGGCTGTGCTTTAATACTCCAATATTGGACAGATTTATAAAATATCTTCACATGGCAAAGAACAAGTGTGGAGAATTATTTAGGACCACTGAATAAATATCTCCCACTCTGTAAAAGTTCTGATGCTACAAAATATTAAATTACCTCTGATATAATTTAAGTTCATGGTAACTGTTGATGAACTATGGACCTGGCACTGTGCAAAGTATAGCTGCTTTATCTGTTTAAGCCTTACATCCACCCTGTGTGCTACATACTACTACTGCCATAACACATGAGAGGTCAGTTTTCTATCTCCATTCTTCTGAGAGAGCTCACCCATCAGTGGTCTGAATTTTGTTTCACATTGAGAAAGAAATCCAGTAAATTTATCATAATTAACTAGACAGTCTTTTCTAGACTATTGCCAGTAAGTCAGAAAGGAATTTGGACTCTTGCTGAGACAATATTACATTTTCTTCCCAAAGACTGTCTACTTAAGTTTCAAATCATTTGAGGTCATCTTGTGATTTGTGCCAGAGGCGTCTGTAAATGGCCTATTGATGGAGAGGCATATTTGCTTTCTCTGATCACTGATTCAGAAATGCAGAGGAAGGAACATCGTTGTTTTGTTTTGTTTTTTAGTAGGGTGTGCATTGTGTCACTGAGTTCCAAATCAAAATTTGGAAAAGGTTTCCCTATAAGCCTTCAAATAATCTCTTACAGTTGGAGATCATCTCATTTCAATAGGGCCGTCAGCTTCCTGGGTAAAAGATACACTAAATCATGCGGCACTAAGAATGGCTGTGCTTTAATACTCCAATATTGGACAGATTTATAAAATATCTTCACATGGCAAAGAACAAGTGTGGAGAATTATTTAGGACCACTGAATAAATATCTCCCACTCTGTAAAAGTTCTGATGCTACAAAATATTAAATTACCTCTGATATAATTTAAGCAGAAAACAAATTCATTACCCAAGTGACTTAACTTGTCATCTTTTAATTCAAGGGGAAACTTATTCAATATTCCTTCATTAGGTATGATTTTAGTTGTAGGTTTTTAAACCAATATCCTATATTAGATTAAGGATGTTCCCTTCTATTGCAGGTTTGCTGTGAGATTTTTATCATGGACAGTGAATTTTATAAAATGAGGATAACAATAGTTCTTCCCTCATAAGATATTGGAAGAATTATATGAATTCAAAGACCAGCACCTGGTACAGAGTAAGCACTCAGCAAATGTTAACTTCATTTTCTTTAAGCATTGCTATAGTCATTTTGCTTAAATTTTATTTTATGACTTGTGCATCTATGTTCATAATTAATATGGGCCTGTATTTTCTTTTCTTATACTTTTCTGGTGCTGATATCATAGCTATACTAGCCATGCAGAATTAGTTAGAAAATGTACTTCTTTTTTAATTATCTGAAGAAATTTAGATAAAATTGTAATGATTCCTTGCATATTTGTTTAAATTTGCCTATAAAACTAAATGGAACACAAGTTGTTTTTGTTTTGTTTTGTGGATTGATTTAACAATAGTGCTATAATCATCTTATGTGATGTTGGGACACTGAGGTCTTCTATCTCCTCATCTTTCAAGTACAATCAAGACAACCCTCAGTTCATGCATTTAATCTTCTCTCCAAAAAGGACTTTCACAATATCCTTCTTATGGCCTAGAGAATACAAAACAGATAAATGGAGTCTAGACAATTTGAATAAAATGAATTTGTGTTTACATTTAATGTAAAAGTAAACATTATGACTTACATGTAATCATTTAATGATGAGAAGTAGTGAAAAATTGCCTTAGTACTACTGTAGTATTTGCCTTCAGGGAAAAATACATAAGCTCATTTGACAAAGTCTCTCATAATTGACTTGCAAGAATAAAGGAGGTATTTGGTTTGAAGTCGGGACAGATATGCACATAAATACAATTGAGAAACATATGATCAATGGAATAAAATCAACCAAATGTAGGGGGCAGTCTCCAACAGTAGACCACAAGGCTTGCCTGACCCCATCTGGTCTACTTTTTCATTAGCTTTAAAATGAAGGTAGAGCAGTTCTGTTCATAGAATTTACAGATGACAAGAACATGGAAGAACTGCAGATACACTGAGGTGGAAGAATCATTACCTCATAAGATCTTGTCATGCCAGAGCAAGGGGCTGAATCTCTTAAGAAGAAAGTATAGAGTGATACAAGTATTCTTATATATAAGCCTGCTTTTTTGTTACCCAGTGTTCATTTACACCACTGTTGGCAACAGCCCTGAATTTTGGGAGGATCTATTTCCCATCCATGTGGTTCTTCTGCAGCTGACTCCCACCTTCTGCTCTGAGGGTGGCTCATGACTCAAGCCTGGCCAATTGAAGGACTGTATTCCTTCAATGATGGGTCGGTTCAGAATTGGGCATGTGACCCATGGCAGGGCAAACAGATACAATGGGACTGGATATGAAGTTTCTTTTGCTTAACTGCTATTCATGATGACATGACCTGGAAGCTGCAGAGGCCTATAACATGGATCGTGAAAGTAAAATCAGGAGGCACACGTGAGAATGACTCTGGAGACCACCACAGGGCCCTGAATCAAGCCAAATTGGAAGTCTGATATATTCATGTGCTTTTTAGTGCATTCCAACGAGGGGTTCCTCCTTCTCATCCTCCTCCTTCTTCTTAATTGTCACCAAGCCATTTATACTCTGGGTTGGGTTTCTGTTACTCAAAATACTAATTGGTAAAATAGCATAATAATGAGACTTCTGCTATGGAATTCTTGCGGGTACTAAGTGATATAATTAACATAAAGTTCTTAATAAAGTATTTGGCATAAAGAGAGCATGAAATACATTTTAGCTATTGTAGTTATTACTGTTGTTATAATTATTATTAGTATCATTGAATGGAAGACCACTTGGTGGGGTTTTAAGCATTGCCTGGGTAACTGAACTAAATCATGATTAATGTCCCAACATAAGATTCTACAATTTTATAATTCTAGTCTTGTAAAAACTTGGATAAATTAACTAACAATGAAACTTTAGCATTTTCTGTGGAAGTAGAAAAATGGAAGAATGATGATTAGAATAATATAAATCAAGGAGAAATACTGAAAAGGGTAAAAGCTCTAGGTAAAGAAAACAGAGATCCAATGATGGCTACTAAGGCTATTTAGCAGGGGATATACGACAAAAGATTTGCAGAGTAGAAAACTTACTACTCAGAGACAGCAAGATCCCCTCGGCTTTGTAGTTCAAAGTCTGAAGGGCTCATGTGAGTGACTGCGGAGTTTTATGGTCACATCAGTCCCCAAAACCTAAACCCTGAAACATGTAGTCCTAACCTTTTAAAGGTCAAATTATCATTTATTTTATGGCAATTTTCAAAGTACCAGATCAAATAAACCAAATCATTGTTTATTTCAAATATGTGCAGTGAATTCAGAAAGTGTATTTTGTGTTTCAAAAGACTTATTTGTCATTGAAAGTGCATTTAAAAGACAAAAAAACAAACGCATGAACTAAGTTCTTGGAAGCTGCAAAAAGACACTTCACTTCTGTTTTTTTCCCCATACATCAGTTACTTGCCAGTCTAACAATCATGGTTTTAAAATGTGTGGTGTATAAAAATGTTTGCAATTCTTATAAAATCTGTTCCAAATATGCAGCCAAGGTGGTTACAAAAAAGTAGAATAGCTTTTTCTGGACTTTTAGGGAATAAAGTGATATTAGCAATTCAATCCTATAACCAAAGTAAAGGAGAAATGAATGATACTGGTTAGTATTAACTTGATTGGACTAACGATCTCTTTCACTCAAATGTGAAATAATGAACAGAGATGTCCTGATTTGACTTTTTATGGTTGTATTTAACACAATTATAAATCAGTCCCAAATCATGTTCACATTTAAGAAGTCTTCACATGCTCTCTGGCGTATTTTATCTAACATTTCTTGCTTTTGGAAACCAAAGGAAGACGAGGTTACCCTTCTGCCACTGAGAAAAGTGGGACACATTCCACTCAGTTACAGACAAGCAGGCTCTCCGCAGTCAGGAGTTGGACGAGGTAGCCAGCAGCATGGAAAACACAGTTCTCCAAACGGAGAGATGTAGAAACTGGAAGGAAGCTTACAGCTCATCTAATGAGTGCAAATAATTCATCTGCCCATTGAGCCCACACGGACTTAAGCCAGCCCAAGTAATCTTATGCATGTTCACCAGTCACCTAGTAGCAAACCACAGGATCTAACATACTTTCCAGTGCCCTAGACATCTCTCTCCACAAACCATAACAACTTAATGAAAATACTTTAAAAGCAATTCCTACAACATGCCCCCCCAGCTCAGCCGTTGCACCATACCTTGGAGTATGCTCTTTAGTATAACCTCTGTGTGATCAGCCAGGAGATCTGCCTTGGTAACTGCAGCCAAGGACAGGTAGTTGGACATATTCCTGCGTAGTTCCTTGTTGCCTCTGTGGAGGAATTTCACTGCAATGGGGATGGCTAATGCCATCACAGGGGGCCGATTGTAATTCTAAGGAAATAAAAGAAAGTAGAAAATAACAAATGGCTCCTTATTCATTCATTTAAAAAATATTTATTGAGCTAAGCTCACAGAGTGCAGCTGTGAAAACACAGGCCCCACCCAGGGAACTCTGGGAACTGTTGTTCTTGTTAGGGAGACTTAGAGGCAAACAGGCAGTTGAAAGCATAGGTTAATGAGGGCTGTGGTAGGTGAAGGGAAAGGTGCTAAGGGAGCAAGCAAGGAGCACCTAATCCAGTCTCGGGGGGTGTCAAGAAAGACTTCCTGGAGGAGGCGATGTCTCAGCTGAGACCTGATTGGTGAACAGCAAGGCAGAGTAGACAGAAGGAAAGGCATGTGTGGAGGCACAGAGGTGAGGGAGAGCATGTGCATTCGGGGAATCTTTACTACCATCAGCCATTCTCACCATTAACCCCATCCTTTAGACTAACTATAAAGCAAAAATCGCATAGTGTGCAGTGTGTATGACTTCATATTATTATTGTTATAGAAATAAAAAGTAGTTTTTTTTCTCTAACTGTTCATGTGTAAGGTGCTTATATCTTTCCACACATGGATTATTTTCTCTAATACTTCCCACAGTTCTGGGTTTATGGTAGGTGTTCAATAAACACCTGTCAAATGGAATAACTAAGGAATAAAATGTGAATCTATCATAATAGTTTTCACTGGGAACACAATGTGGTGGGAAGGGGGACGGGGAGGAAGGGGTCCTGCATGCTCCCTCTCACTGGTGTCACTGCCAGTGATTGCCGGGTATAGTCCCCTCCCTCCAGCTTCATCCATTTGCAGGGCTGGTTGACTGGCAAGTGATTTGTTACACACACCTTAGCAGATGCTGACTTGTTGCTCAGGTTCTAGGTACATCTGCTGAAGGCATTTGCACCCTTGACTTCAGGGTGGTCCAATGACTCAGACATTGACCAGAGAATCATATTTCCCTGGTCCAAATGATAGAGTCAGCAATGGGCAAGTTGTCCAATTATAATTAAAAAGCCATTTAAAGTCTCTGTGAAAGAGATTGTCTCTCTTTCCTGCTGGGTTCAAAGTGTTGAGAACGAATGATCAGGAGAAGCTGCTGCTTCCCTGGGACGTCAGTAGGAGAGAATTTGAATGAGATTCAAGGCAACATAGATCTATTTCAGAGATATGTTGAGAGAAAGCAGGTTCTGGTGACATCATTTGAGCTCCATGCATTTGGCTTTGCCTCAGGTCAGTTCTATCCCTAAATTTTTCCAAGTGAGCCAATTATGTCTCTTGCTTAAACTTTTTCCTCCTAGCTTCTAGAAACAAAGACAGACCTGAAAAATCCATAATGTATTCCTGTAGTTCCATTTTCCTGTCTCAAGCATCAGTCCTGTTCCTGAGCAGAGAAAATAGGTATTTTATACCTCAACCTGATATCCCAACACTAAGTCAGAGTTGCAAGCTCTGACACTATTTTCCGTGACAAATTATATGCTTCTCTAGCAGTCGCATTCCTTAAGTTTCTGTCCTATCCTTCTTGGAGTTTATAACACCATTTAACTATCAGGACCATGGCCTGCTGCCAGACATCTCTAATACCAGACTTTGTTTTTATCTAGAGTGTCTCCCCTCCTGGTGAATTTAATGGTGCCTCATTGGACTGGGTTATTAATGATGTGATGAGCTATGAGGTCTCCCTGGAAGGCTGGCTGCTCCCTGCCCTTTAGTTTGGAAGTCCTTGTGTGCTTGGTCAGGTCACACAGCGTGTTTGAATCCATTGAGGCCAAGCAAGAGATTTCCAAAGGCCGGTGCATAATCAGGCATGCCGATTTACTCATCCACAGTGAGGGGCTTTCGTAGGTCAGAACTTTCATGTTATCAGGACCTCAGGAGCCAGATTACTAACCAGAATATTCTCACTCATAGGCACAAAATCACATAAGAGTAAAGACAGATTCTGAGGTATATTTCATCGTAAAACCTGACTGAAATAACAGTCCTGCTCTACAACTGAATCCACATTGCCAGTAACTGGAAGTTCCCTGTCCATTAGGTTCAGTCTCTACCCTCCCTCACCCATACAGCGCTGGGTAATGTGCCGAAATAATGATCCTACACAGAGCATTCTTTTTGCTGACATACTCTTCAGATATGTGGTGTTTCAAAAGGCCGATTGGTTTGTCCATTTTCTCAATTACAATCCTGTTTTATCCCTGCTCCCTTGAGGTTCTATTCAGGGCACCTCGAGTAGAGCACGGGGCACTTCCCAAAGCCCTCAATCTCATCTGTAGGTTTTTTGGGTTGCTCGTGTTGACAGCCAATCTCTTCATCATGTGTAGACTTTGCTAGTTTAACTTGTAGATGACACATCTTTGTCCCCATCATGGCTGGTTAAAGCCCTAGTTTTGAGGGTGGAACGCAATCACATAATTTTCAGAGCTTTCCAACAAAGAACTTGTTGCCTGTTTATTTTATCCACTCTGAGTCTTTAGCCACAAACAATTGGCAGGTAGAGAAGTACGCATCTCCCATTAGAGGAATATGTCTGCAAGTAGATTTACCTGTAACCTGCTAAGAAACCACTGGTTGGTGGCATTGGGAAGTGGAGCTCATGTGTTCCCCCTCCTAATTGTGGACACAGACAGGCACAATGAAGGATCAATAAAAATTGGTATTTATAACAACTGATGTTTTTAAAGCTTGGGGGTGAGCTAACAGTTGCCAAGGGAAGGACAGGCAGTCTAAGTCAATTTGATCATATTCTTTTTACAACAATTCTCAATGGTCTAGAGAAAAATAATGGGCAGCTGTTAAAGTCTTTGAAATGTGGTTCCAAGTGACATCTATAAAATAATATATATATATATATATAATGTCATTTTTTTTAAAAGCAAAACAAAACTTTAACACACTCAACTTTTTTGTTTTCCTCCCACATATGTAATCTGCAAATCTCTCAAATAATGGGAGTAGTGAAAACATTGAGCAAAGAGCAAATAGTTCATATAAACCCCAAGGCATCACCACTGCAGGCTCCCAGTTTTCACTGTCTAGACAGTTCCTAGTGCCGAGGGCACTGCTGACAACAACGGCGTGTGAGTGAGTGGCTGGGAGGCCAAGGTGAGGCTCGACAGACACGGTGCCACAGACACCATGCAACCTCCTTCCAGTGGCTGACCTTCACTCTCAAGTGAAGCAAAGGGAGTTGCTAATGCAGTAGATCTCAGGTGCAGGAAACTATTTTATCTCTAGGATTGTCTGGATCACAGGAATGTTAACGGCACACATGCAGAGAATGCCCTATGATTGCTCGTACAAGTAAGCCACTTTAAGCAAACTGCTGTGCATGCCAGAGCACATGATAGCCCTTGCCCCTCAGTGGAGATGTGAGCGTGTTGGCGCATGTATCATCTTACACACAATTCAGTGCTCTGTTCTCAAGGAAAAAATTCAGTGAGGTTTACAGAGTAGGAATAAAGACTTGCTCAAGGGGACAATTATATCTAGCTGTGGAAGCAAAACAAGAGGGCTTTGTTTGATGGATGCCAAGAATTACATTTCTTAACTAGATTAGCACCAATGTGAGCTTTCAGTGGAGATTTTTCTTTTGAAAATGCACTTTGGGAACATTTCCCAGTGTTTTAGAATTGAAAAGAATTAAAGAGATACCTATCTGAGGTGATAGCAGCTAAAAAGCTCTTTGGCTCTCATGCCTTGAATTCAACTAAGAGCCATAAAAAAGTAATGTCAAGAAAAATGAAATGTTGCTTATTAAAATCATTATCTTATGCTTTTAATTTGCATCATTGATTAGATAAAGAAGTTTTAGATCTATATATAAAATGTTTGGTTCTGCAGCATGGCTATATATAAAATCTAAATGGCACATACCTCTAACTTTTCCAGTGTATTTTTGCACAGATAATAAGAGAATGAGTCTCAGTAACCCTGTGTAGGGGTTGTGAGTCCCAGTCTCTCCCATTTCTTGCCACTGTTTTGTGCGGCATTAACTGGGAAAAAAGTACTGGCACACACTCTGGGGAGAAGTGTAGTGGGTGTGGAAGCCAGAGGGCAGTTATGAGCTATTCATTCGTTCATTTGTTCACTCATTCATTCAATAAACATTTTGAGCACCTACTATGCGCCATTCACTGTTTGTAGTGCTGGGACTACATCACAGAACAAGGGAAAGCTTCCATTTTAGGGGAGGGGGATACAGGCAATGGACAGCGGCTACAATAAATAATTAAAAGGACACCTTGTTAGAAAGTGTCAAGTACTATTTCAGGGTCTCCTACAGATCATGATAATGATGAGAATACCAGCCAGAGTTAATGCTGCAGCACTCTTGCATTCCTCTGCCCTAAATATCTGATTTCTATTATTTCTGCCTATTTCTCTAATCCTCACAACAAACTCATGAGGCAGCTACTCTTACCACCTGCATTTTACAGATGAGGAAATTAAGGCACAGAAAAATCAATTTGCCCAAGATCTCACTGTGAGCAAATGGTAGAGCTGGGATTGCCTAGTGAATAAATTTCTAGACCAACATAACCAGTCTTGCCTGTAAGAATTGCAAAGGGAATGCTCTCAAAACGGTCCAAGACACTTTGTATGTACTACTGGCAAGGGACAGATTTTGAATCTTCACACAGTGTTAACTGGGAAAGAGGAAAAAAGAAAACTGAAGTGTGGAATCAAGGTGAATGGACAGTGAGTCCTTCTATAAAGAAGGAAAAAGAAATATTTTCTGGTTTTCCAACAGTGGATTTGGGGGTTATTTCTATTCCTCCCTCCTCCCCCCAGACAGCTCCCTTTGGCTCTCTGCCTCTTCACACAGTCAGCAATAGTGTGAGCGGTGATGAAGAAAAAAGATAAACACTGAGCTTACTTGGCAGCAGCTCTGCTAAGTGATTTGGTCGGGGGTGGACTGTAACTACCAGAACTAGTGGGGTGAGGATAAAACCAGCTCTTGACAGCATGATGGCTGACCTGTCAGTTCTCTAGAAATTTCATTGCAGCATGTTAGCTATGTCAATAATTACAGCCTCCTTGAGGTACATTTTTATTTTCTTCAGTCCTCTCCAGGTTTGAATTTATCCTGGAAAGTAATGTGTCTTGTGGGGGGTATCTTTCCTTTTAGGATTTAGAGGCATTGGCCAACTCCATACAGAAGTTTGGTCAGAGGAAGCTGTGGTTTGAAATATGTACTTCCATGGAGTGGCTAGACTACAAATGGAGATTGCTTTTATAATAAGAGATATTCCTCACGAGCAGCAAGTATTGTTATGCCCATTTTACAGATGGCAGAACAGAGGTTCAGAGAGACAAAATGACTTGCCAATCTCTCATTGATATAAAACCAAGCTCCAACACCCTCAAGTTCTACAGCTCTTAGCTATTCTACCTCTCAGTGTGTCCTAAGGGAGTCAGAATTTCAGACCAGGAGGTGATCTGAGAGAGATCGTCTGGTTCATTCTTTGTCTTATTGGTGACAGGTCAAGAGACTTGTCTAAGGGGTGGGGGTGGGTTGCTAGAAGCACAATACCCACGGCAGAAGAAACCAAAACTCGCTAGTGTGCACCACACGCTTGGGCCAATTTCGTGCTGAGGAAGGTATAGAAGATGAATTCTGGAATTTAAAAAACAATTTTAAGATAAATGGGGCAAGCATATAACTTTAGGAACTAAAAGAAGAAAGAATTCAATGTAATTACTAATTCAAAGTGGAATAGGAATAATCACGTGAAGTAGGTTTGAGTGTAGGTTTTAAAAGGAAATTTTGTGGAAAAAAAGACAGAAGGTTTTTGTGTGTGTGAATGAACATATTTAGCTTGAAATGTCAGTGAGCTGGCCAGAAAAGAAAATTGAGTAAAATGGTCAAGGATGTGGTAGGAACTGGTGGGCCCTTGACTGACTGGACAGGTGAGGGTGGTATTGTTTATCTTGGGAGTTGGGGAGCTGGACGGGGAGGGGGAGTCACTTTTATTTTCTATGCAACCTCAAAATGCTAAGTGTTTGGCTTTGAAGTTGATCTACTGTTTTATTTTACTGGAAAGACAGAATAGATTATGAATCATCTGGATTTCTATATTGTTCCCACAAGAACCTAAATTACAAGTAGGTCAAAATTATCTTTTTAATATTGACTAAAAGCCAAAAAATTCCTTAAAATTGGATAGAGCTAAATTCCAAAGCTCTGGCCACAGCCTTGCCTTCGGTTCCTGTGGTGACTTTGTGGAACCACATCCCCAGGGGAGGCCTGGGCAATCACTGAACATTGCTGAAAGACTCCCTTCCTTCCATTATATTTCTACTCCTCAGAGTGCTCAGCCATCACCTGGTGCCCAAGCTGGGCCTACAGGCTGGAGTCCCCAGCTTTTGTGATTCACTTGTCCCTCTCAATCAAGAGGCCTATCCCTTAGCCCTTTTCTCTGTCCCTTCCCTAAATATCAGTGCTTGTTCATAGGGCGCAGGGCAGTGCTCTCAACAATGCTACAAGCTCATTCACAGGGAGTCATTGATTAGCCAGTCACTGGAGCATTTTTATTTGCTTACCCTGCCCCTACCCCTTTCTAAATAGGAGACATAATGCCTTACCCAGAATGAAACATTCCTTCGTGTTTGAATTTTGGGCATTGTGGAAGAGCAGCCTGCTTATGATTCCCTGACCTAGATCTTTTTTTACAGATCAGGACTTTTGCACAAGTTGTTTTATGTTCTTGGCACAGCCTATCATTCCACCTTTCTGTACTGGTGAAATTCCTGTCCATGCCTCTGAACCCTTTCCAAATGTGGTCTCCCTCCAGAAAGCCTTTCTGACTCTCTAGAGCTGTTCAAAACAGGAGCCACTACCCACAGGAAACTACTGAGCACCTGAAATAGCCTACTCCACAGTAACATGTGCTCAAACACACACCAGATGTGATTTAGCATACAAAAAAGCAAAATATTAATGTTTGAATCGATTACATCAATTATAACAATATTTTAGCTATAATTGGGCTTAGGAAAATATAGAATCAACTTCATCTGTTTCTTTCCACTTCTTTTTAATGTGGCTACTATAGAATTCAAAATTATATACGTGACTTGTGTTTATAGTTACAATGGTTTTGAAATTACAGTGTGAACTGGAGAATACAGCTAATTTGTGAGTTTCTGTCTGAATGTCTGTGGAGTGGTTCTTTGGAGTGAAATAATCTCTGTTTCTAATATGACAATAACATATTAAAGATAATCAGCGAACAACAGATGTATTAAGTTTTTGTTGTTATATCCAAACAGCATTACTCTTTCTTTAATTTTACTAAAACCTCATTTCCTCCTCTCCCATCCTTAATCCTGGAGACAAAGGAAAAACAGTGTGACAGTGTGTATTGAGTCTTTTGTTCATTGAAAAGTCCCTGGACTGGGCAGACAACATGAAATATGCTCCACTTAAGCACAGACAACTGTGAGAGGAAAAAAGAAGCAGGGAAGCTAGTATTAGTTGTCACACACAGTGCTAAACATTACCAAAATGTCCTGACCTGTTCTCAGCAGAACCATAGTTTTGAATGATGTTTCCTAAATGTTGTGTTGGGGCTAGGGAAGGGAAAGGAAGTTCCATTGTCAAATCAGATTGGAAAATGCTGTACTAAGTAAAGTTAACCAGCTTTCTTTATTGCAGTACTTTACAGAGACTTTAATGTGCTACGAAATACGACAGTTCAAAGGGAAAAACTGAATTCAGTGTTTCCCAACTTACTTGACCACAGAATTCTTTTTTGAGAAACAGCTATTAATATCACCGACATTTACTGGCTGGAAAAGTTTGTCATAGACAATGTCATTTCATCAGCATTTTACAGGGAGGACACTGGCTTAGGAAGTTAAGTGACTTACCCCACATTTCAATGCTATATAATGGGTTTGTGGCTGAAGCAAAATTCCAAATTCATGTTTACACCAGACAAAAGAACTTATAAACATGATCAGAGCAGGCAAATGTTATTATCATAGGAAGTTTGCAACACATATAGAAACATGCTAAAAATTATTAAATCACTTTTCTCCATATATTCCAAGCTCATTGTCCTTCAGCTCAAACTCCACCCTCTCTATGGTCTCCTTGGATGAAAGAGGTCTCTTTTTCTGAATTCTACAGTATTCCTCATTTGGATCTTGATATGCATTACTTTATTGTAAGCTTTTTATATGTGTATATCTTATCTCTCAGAAGAGATTAGAGCTTGCTATGGTATTGGAGTCCCCACAGCATGTCCTGCAAAAGTAGGGGCTCAATAGGACCTTATCAGGCTTGGCTGTTGTCCAGAGAACCAGATGCTCGCCTAAGCTGCCTAGCCAGTATCAAATAGCGTTATGCCGAACACTGACATACCTGTAAAATGCAGCTCATGATATCAGAAGCGATTTTTGCATGGGGCGTGTCTTCGTCTTTCCCAGGGGGTCTCAGGCTGTGCTCCAGGCAGGAGTCCCAGAGCCCCACAAGGGCCTTGGCGTGCTTTTCAATCGACTCGGTCTCTCTGATGGCTGTTGTGATTCGAGTGATGCAGATTTCAACCACTGCCTGGTCATTGTTATTGGTTTGGTAATCCTGTTTGGAAGACCCTCATGTTAAAATAATACTCGGGAATGTTATCCTTCAAAGGACCGTCAACTAGAACTAAGTCACTTAGAAAATGGATATGTTACACTGTGTGCTATGGGGTGAGCTTGTAAAAGCCCAAATACAATAAGGGCCTGATTTCTTGGCGATGGGAACCTCGTGGCCGAGGCAGGTGCAGATATGCTATCACAAACACACAGACGGGGCAGGGAAGGTCCAAAGGAGGTTAATTATTTACCTTCAAGTGGGTTTAATCTTCAGGTTATTTCAATGGCTAAATCCATTATTGGTCAAGGTTTGCTTTTCAATCTGACATTTCAGTAACTTTTGCGAAGTTTCAAACTACCCTCCCATGTCCCCTCCTAAGCTTTCTTTCTCTTCCTGTACGCAGCAGAGCACATCTCCTCTCTCTTTTTTTCAACTCAAATAACTACCAAATCCATTTTATCTTTCCCCTACCAAATTTTCCTCCATCCCTCTATTTGAATTCTCCCTCAAATACCTAATTATGTTTATTGAGAGAGAACATGACCCTCCAAACCGTGTAAATGTGAAACAGAGCCCATCGCTTTACTTTGGAGAACAGGTCGGACTGAACTCCACGTGGTGGGCTGGCAACACTGAAAACACAATCCCACTGTGAAGCTGTGGGGTCCTTACACCAGCATGTGCCATTAGAGAGGGAAAGTGATGGGATTTTTCTGTCCTACTGCACACTCCAACTCTAACAATAATTTTTTACCATTTGACTAGTGCTGCAGTAAATACCACATGCATAAAACCTTCTCCATATATACATTATTTATAGCGTAGGTTCTCCCGAAATAGAAATTTCTGAGACAAGGGACAGGAACAGTTTTAAGGCTTTTCCTACTGCCAGACTATTTTCCAGAAAGGTCTTACTGATTTATACTCTCATTGGCTGGGTGAAAGCATGCTTTCCCAACTGTACATTTGTAAAAATAGGGTATTTTAATGTTGGCTAATTTGATTAGTGAAAAATGATATCTCATTGCTGTTTTACTTGGAATTTCATTGATCAAAAGTGAGGTTGAATGATTTTCACGTGTTTATTGGGCATTTGTATTTCCTCTTCTGGGAATTGTGCACTGTACCTTATGTCTATTTTTCCTTAGATAACTTCTTTTTTGTTTTGTTTTCTTTCTTCAATGCAATATCTTTTTCTATTAAGGATGGTAAGCCAACACTTGGCATACCTTTGTGAATATGTCTCCATGTTTCATTGTTTTTAGTTCGTTTGCTGCTATTTACTGATGCGCTAAGTTTTTAGAGAGCCAAATCTGTCCATCTTTCGGGATTTCATCACACTCCTCTTTTTTCAAGTTGGAAATTTAAATTATTCAAATTATTCTCGTTTTTGAAAAGATAATTCACAGACATGATAAAAAATAAAAAGTACAAAGAGAAGGTTTACAGTGAAAACTTATCTTGCTTTCACTCCAGTTCCCTTTCCTGGGGGAAACCATGCTCACCAATTTCTCATGTGCTTGACAGGGGTCCCCAAGCACATGCATTTATCCATCTACACACACACACCTTCCTTTCTTTGTGATTCCTTTAACAGAATTTTTTTTTTAACTTTAAAGTTTCCTTTTTCAAAGGTTTAATAAAAATCTACTTGCATTTTTCCCAGATTAAAAAGAAAATTGACAAAGACTTAAACATTTGGGATTTTGGAAATTAATCTTTTAACCATTCACTTAGTTATTACAGACATAAAGATGACCATTTTCTACTAAATACCTAACCTAATTTTCCCACCCATTTATTGAATAATTCCTTTCCTAGTAATTGTTTTATATATTTATATACATTAAGTTCTATTTAAGGGCTGTCTTTTCTGTTTGCTTGTTTCATTTTTCAATTCTTTTATAATTCTAATTTCGCTATTTTCTTCACAAACTCCACACATTTTTAGAGGTGCTTCCTAGTGTATTTTATGTCTTTGCTGTTGCTATTAACAAAATCTGTGTTTTTCCCCCATTAGAACTTTTAATGTTATTGCTGATTAAGCCAACCTACAACTTTTTTTCTATTTATTTTGTACTCAACTAATTAGCTCAATCCTTTTAATTATGATAATTTTTTTCAGATCATTCCCTTGGGTTTTCTAGAAACATTTCTGTATTATACTTGTACCTTTTACATATCCAATGGCTTATTGTGTCAGCTAGCATCTCCTAATCTATTTCACATAAAAGTGATGAGAGCAAGAATGCTGGCTTAGCTTCTGGTTTTAGATTCTGATTTTTTATACAAAATTTTATAATCAAAAACAAGAAAATACGGTGTTTTTAAATTATATAAGAGGCATCACTTTCTTCCTATTTTCAGTTTATATATTTGGTTTAATTTTTGAATGACTTCTCAGCATCTATGAAGGCAAACCAAGATTTTTTTTCTTAGCCATCTTATGGATGTGAAATGTTACCATACAGTATGAAATTTCCAGATATTAATCCATCCTTGCATTCCTAGGATGAACACCACTTGATTTGTTGAACTGTTTTAGAATATTTTCTTTTACCTTCCTCCTTTGTTGGTGAGTATTTCTTATTCTAAATTATAGAGAGAAATCAGAATATGAAGGAGCAAACATGATGCTGACTTTTCCAAAAATCTCTATAGTGACAGAAAAACTGAAACCATCCTCAGGGGTGAAATATGACAGAGAAAGAACACTCTTGGGCTAAAATGACTATCTTTGGCCACAACTGCCCTTGTAAATTGCAGTTATTTTTAATCACATCATCTTCAAATATGAAACAACACCAGATTGGTCACTTTTATGTATACATAAAGGTAGCTAGAACAGAGAATCAATGCCATCAATAGAAGGAAGCCTGAATTCTGGATGATACCAGCCAAGACTTTGCCATAACCATCCCAATGTGACCCAATAGGTGCATAAATGGAGTAACCTTGGCATCTAAGAATTACCCAACAGCATTAACAGCATAAGCTCCCATTCACCAAGGTTGATCTTGTTATTATTCCCATTGGCTAAATGTGCAGTCTGCTAGCAACAGAGGTCAATGCTGAGCACCCAAAATGGCACCATCCCTGAAGGAAACCAGTCAATCATTTGGTGGCAAGTTATTTACATAAGGCCTTTTCCACCCTGGGTGGGCACTGTGGCACACTGCCCATATTCTGCTTTGAGTGCAAAGGCACTGGTTTCTCAGCTTCTGACTGAAAAAAGTCTTGCAGCTAAGTACGCCTGCAGAAATTGTCCTTAGTCAAAGGGAACCGCCTCACCCGGTTTTACTCCTTGCTTGGAACAGCCATCTGGAATTTGTTTTCTTGGGAACCCAATTACAACAGAGTTTATATAGATGACATTGAGAAACATAGTAAACCATGTCTAAACAACAGATTATCATTTGAACAAAACAAACTTCAGTAAAAGATGAAGGTGTAACTCAAGAAAAGTATGTGACATTACCTGAGTCTTGGTTCATAAACACTGAAAGTCAATTTCCTTGTTAAGAGAGTACTGAATTGTGAGAGGATTCTGAAAAGGTGCTTTGGGATGAAGATGGGATAGTAGGAGAGACTTGTATCAGTGAGATTGTTGAACAAAAGGCATGTACTCTAAGATTTCTAACTGGAAAAGTTAAGCATTTGTCAGTAAGGATAAACTGCACTGGTCATAATTTCATCTAATACATTAACATATAAGGTAGTATAGATGCATCAGTAATGAACTTTGTTATTACTGAGAACCTCTTGAACCTAAGAATTTCTTATTCTATACCACTTTACTAAAAAGAAAGGAGATTTTCAATTTGGAAAAAAATTTATGCATTCAAATTCCTGCATATGACATGAAGGAAAACATTCTCCAAAAAGGAGATTTCCTCCAAAAAGGGGGAACACCTGAATAAGCGGTTAATTTCTTCCTTCATTGATAGTCAAAAAGACCAAACAAATTTAAAATTATTTTAATGAGGTAATTGAATAGTTTAAAGCTTTTTGGTGAGGGATCAGTTTTGCAATTAGGTGTTTCCTGACTCACATTCCAGGCAACATCCTGTTCTTATGAAATATGTAGTGTGCATACATAGATGTTTATGTTTTGAGTTCAATATTGGGTGAGTCCCTGGGCATGTTAAAATGAGAAACTTCTAAGGACCAGATCTATTTAATATCAAACTCATCCATCTGGGTTTAGAGATTCTCACAGCAACTTGGTCATTGTCAGTTCTAAAGTAATTTATCCTAAAGTGGTATGGATGTCAAACTGGAGATGTAAGACAATGAAAAAGCCATACACGGTGCTGTGCCAGGCCTTGTCATCAGTATGAATCACTCACATTCAGCCAGACACTATACATCATGTCATCATCCATTAACCTTTCTGTCACACTTCTCTGGGTTGGAAACAGTCTTCAAGGAATGGCCCACCGGCAAAAGGGAATGTGAAACATCTGAAATAAGGTTCATAGCTGTGGGAAGGTGTGGAAGTGGAAGCGTGGAAAAGAAGGCAGGCATCTTAAGCCTTAGCTCTCCCTTCCTTCCTTTGAAAACAGCTTAGCACAGTGGTTAAGAGCATGTACTTTCAGGTCAGACAGCCTGTGCTCCAAGCTGCATTCTGCTCTGAACAGCTCTGCAATCTTGGGTAATCACTTACCTCTCTGTACCTCAGTCACCTAATCCTTAAAAATGGAGTATTATTATCTGCCTTCTAGGACTATTGTGAGTATTAAATGAGTTAGTAGAGGAAAAGGATTTACAACAGTGTCAGGCACAAAGGAAGTGCAGACAAATGTTAGCTATGATTATTTTTATTATTCCTCCTAAGGATACCAGCACCCTGAAAGCCAGCCTTGGGTTTATAACACACAGTGAGTTACAAATATTTCCCTATGTGGTTACAATTTTTATACATTTATTCCACAACCACATAGTAATGTACATCACAAAAAGGCCCCTCTCAATGTCACTTTCTATATTGGCATCTGTGA